ACTGTGGAGTTCGACTGTGGGTGGTAGGCAGTGGCTATCGAAACTCTCGCCCCAGCTCTCTTGAATACATTCTGAACCTCGTCAGCCAGGAATTCCGCTCCTCTGTCCATCACTATCTTGCTGACACAACCATACCTAGATAAATACTCTAGGACGAAGTTCTTCACTTCCCTTGCCGTCTTACTCCTAATAGGTCTACCGTCCACGAACCCCGTGAAGTCGTCTCATATGTTCACAACATAGTTCATATTGCCTACCCCTTTCGGCATCTTCACCAGATCGATATGTACCTTCTCTCCTGGTCGGGTTGGATAGGATGGATGAAGTGGCTCTTTGTATTTCACAAGAGCTCTCTTCTGGCATTCTTCGAAGGTCATACAATATCTCTCGACGTCCTTATACTGTCCTTCCCACCATTACAGCCTGCGTACCTTTTCGTAGGTCCCTCTGACTCCTATATGTCTTCCGACCACCCCGTCGTGAAGCTCCGCTACTATCGTTTGTCTCTCTTCAGGATCACAGACTACTCGTAAGGGCATCCCCGACCCTACTGGCATTCGGAAAAGATGGCCCGCTCTAAGGCAGTACTGGGCTGCTTGTCTCCGGATATCTAAATCTTAACTCTCCTCTCCCGTCAGGTGTAGTCCGATCGTTCGGTACTTGTCCTCGTAAGGATTAACTAGAAATCTTTCGGCGCGTCTCGGCTCTGCCATTGTCAGGGCTCCAGCTACTATCGGGCGCTCGCCCTCAAGAGGGATCCGAGAAAGTCCATCCGCTACGATATTTTTAGTGCCAGATATCCTCTCCACGGTGTAGTCATATAACCGAATCTGTATTAACGATCGTGCAATGGTCGGGTCTGTAAGGCTAAAGTCCTTCTGGAGGACAGAGGCGACCGCGGTGGGATCCACTCTCAAGATGAACCGTCGTCCATAGATATAATGTCTGAACGTGTCTAGACACCGCAGAACAGCTAATACTTCCTTCTTAAATTGACTATGGTTTCGCTCTGCCGTATTAAGTGTCCTACTCTCAAATCTTAATGGTCTTTCCTTCCCTTCAGCGTCCTTCTGTGACAGCAACCCTCCTACCGAACAAGGCCCAGCATCCGTGGCTACTATGAAGGGTCTCCCAGCCTCATCATCAAACTACGGCACGCCCAACACGAGTCCTCCCTCCTTAAATTCATCTTTAAGCTCTTGCATAGCGAGTTCCTGCGAGGAATCCCAGTAAAATTTCTCAGTTTTTCCAAGGAGTAGTCTCAATGGCTCAGYCTTCTCTGCATACCCTCGTATGAATATTCRCGGGTAACCGACCACTSCCAGAAACTGYCRGACCTYGGTTGGACTATGTAMTGGWRACGGTCAGTTCAGGAGTTTGTCTAACTTCGCCGGATCTGCTCGGCGTCCCCTCGAGTCACAGATAAAGCCCAAGATCTTAAAAGTGGAGACGGGCCATCGGCTCTTTGTTCCGCTGACTGTTAGATTCGCATCGTCCAGCTGCTCGAGTACCGCGCAAATATCCGTTAGGTGTTGCTCGACGAATCTTCTAACTTCAGGTGCAACCTCTGCCTCATCCTTGTTTACTGGCCCTTTTATAGGAAAGTCATCCAGAAAAACGTCAACCTTATCAGGGATGAAGTCCTTGAGGACGGCTACCATGGCTCTCTGAAAAACGGCTACCCCATTAGTCCAACCCATAGGGACAACTATCATCTCTTTTAGTCCCAATGGCGTATGCATAGCCGTGAGGTGCCTGTCTCTAGGGTCAAGCAGTACCTCATCATAACCTGAGAACAGATCACAGACCGAATAAATCGACCTACCTGTGGCGCCTTCTGCCAGTAAATCGGCGTGTGGCATGGAGCCCACGTCTCATATCGTCACCGCGTTGACCTTCTGAAGGTCGTGGATCCATCGGATCTTGCTATTCGGCTTTCGTAGGAAGAACCATCGATTAGTATAAGCGCTATCAGACGGCTCCGCAACATGGGAAACCATCTTTTCTTTCAGGAAAGCGATAACTTCTTCCTTCTTCTTCTGGGCGTATTTCCATCCCGCGTCATTCCAGGGAACATGTGGTATCGTGTAAATCCTTGCTGGCTTAGCGTATCGAGGGTCAACCCTACCGCGCTCCGCGTCACTAAAAGCTATGACTTTATCACATGTCTTCATGATTTCTATCACATGTTCTCGCTTCTGTGGGGTTAAATTCCCATCTCCGATATCCATCCCCGCTATCCTCTCTTCCGTTAGGCGTTGC